GCAGGAAACAGCTTAGAACCACAAGGGGAGTGGGGCAAATATATTTTTAGTTTGGTGGTGGGAGATCATCAGTTAAAGATGAGCAACATGATACCTAGATTTTATAAGCTAATGATAAAATATAATTGACTCAAGGCTACTGTTTCATTATTATTATTATTATTATTAATGAAAGAAATTTTAGTTGTTTTTTTTCTTAGTGAGATGTACCATCGTTATTCGTTGACTTGAGAACAAGAAAATGATTGACACAATGACCTTATCTGTGTGTCTGCTCTTTTGTAGAATGTTATTCTTGTTTTGCATTGAAAAAGAGTTATGTATTCATAACACATGTGCAAATAATATCAATGAAAAAGTCTTAATCTTAGAAATTTTTATGACACAAAAAGACATTAGAGCTGGGTGGACTAACGAGTTGACCAAAAGATCCCAAAATAAAAAATCCCAGTCTTCAAACTGGGACCTCCAGCATTAAGCGCTTTACCGCTCAGCCACAGCGCCTCCAATAAGGTATATATAGATGAGCTTTATTTTACATCTTAAATAGTCATCAAAGACACAAGTGGGTGGGGGGGATTCATTAAAATAGTCATCACATTGGTAAAAATTGCTAAGCATTCTAGAGTCAATATAAAGTACAAGAGGATTATTTCTTCACAATTTCAAGGACATTTAATATTTATTAATTCTTATGCAGAGCAAATTTATCAAATAAATGAAAAGTCAAAATCATTTAATGGATAACATTTTTAATACTTTTGACTTTTCTTAAACATAATTACAAAAATATAAATATCAATTAGAAATTTAGAGTAGCCACGGGAAATACTGCATTCCTCATTAATCTTCACTCAAAGACAAGCCTTATTATTTACATAAATAGTTATTCACGTAAAAAAAATTTTTTTTAAATTGCCTAGCAGCAATGGCATTGCTAAGCAAGATTTTATAGAAATGGCCATGTAACATACTAAATATGTACAAATAACTAAATGATTTACTTTACATAAATATTAGAAAATTTCTTTTATTAAAGGAATGTAAACAATATAAAGAGCCACTGAATACAATTTTTAATGTAAAAAATTTTAGCTGTAATTCTAGGCACTTCCGTTGAGCTAGTTGTACAAACAAATACTACTGTCTTTGTAATATCTTCATTTTTCTGTAATACAAACTTTCAGATGTTTGTTTCAATTGCTGAGTTTCAGCTTCCTTCCACAGTTTGCGAAAAAATAGACTCTTAGTAAGAGGCCGATATTTCTCATGATATGTCTTTGAAATGGTGATGGGATTGCCTGAAATGAATACAAAAATAAATGTATAAGTTTAAAATACTACTAATTAATGTATTTCATTCACTCTAGTATACAGTAACATTCTATGTGTATATCTCTTATAGCTTCTTAAAATCAATTTTGTTATTGGCATATATTTTGCTGTTTTTTTTAAACCTTTCTGGACAGGTCTTTAAGTTGGCTTTTTAGAAAAAAACAACAATAAAAATATTTACTGTCTGCCTCCCAACTATGCATGATTTGCTAAAAATATTGTGCCCTGATCACACGTGCAACATATTTTGCTTGGATACCATGGCAATATTTGTATATTTTTATCATTATTTATTAATTAATCTTAATTGTCATAAAAAAACTATTCTCAAAAAAATTAAATTTAGCTGTATGCTGAAACAAAATGATTCTACCTGACTTCTAATGATATACAATAGTCAATGACTAACAATTTCAAATGTTAGTCTAGTTTTTGGCCTTTAAAAAAAATAAACATAAAGCTATTAACTCTTGATATACTTTAAGTCCAAGAGTTTTTTTTTATAATATAATAAACATGTTTATTCATTGATTTTTCTGTTTAATGGCACACATTAGAAATAACAAGCAACTACTAGCAACTGAATAGAAACTGATAGCGTACCTGTAGGTGTAGTTGGATACTGATAACGTTGAATGTTCCATGGAATTTCTACAGTAGATAAAATGTTTTCTTCAAATATATTTGAATCCCACTGGCTGTCCTAAAAGGAAAAAGATCAAAATTATACAAATATATATATATATTCCCACTTAGAGAAATCTAAAACAATGAATTTTTACCAATTTTTTTCTTAGCAAGTTTTTGGAATAGCTATGCACTTTTGACATTTCAAATACTCCCACCAATGCATAAACTTGTGTCATTTTGACCATTTTCTGTCTCAGCACCACTAAAGTTTTTTTAAAATACAATGATAACCAGTTGTTGTTTTTTTATCTTGGCATAAGACACAGAAGAGATTTCAGTTTTAAAAAAATATTCTGCTTAAGTTTTAAATTGTTCGAAATGTGTTGTAAATGTGCACCATTACAGCTTTTAAAAATACAATGATAATCAGTTGTTGTTTTTTTAATTGGCATAAGACACAGAAGAGATGTTTTAGTTTTACAAAAAATATTCTGCTTAAGTTTTTAATTGTTCTAAATGTGTTTTTTTCCCAGTGAGAATGTGACTTTAATGGGGTTGTCTCTATTTGGATATTTTTTGTGAGACAAAACTGCCATCAAAAAGAATGTATTGATGTAAAAAAGCATGAGCTTTACAAGTATCAATGTAAGGTTGTATTAACTAAGAGCACAAACCTAATTAAAAATGTATTGTATTAATAAATAAATATAGAAACTACAAAACACATGAAATCTATGCTTACATTTTGTATAAGTTGTACCAGCCAGTTAGTGAAAAACTGCCATCTTGGCTTGTAATAGCTACAACAAAGTGACACAAAAAATGAAGACAATATAAACAGTTTTTGCTGCATGTTCAGGTGGTAAATTGTAACCAAGCATGCATGCACACACACAAACTTTGAAAGAAAATATGTTGCATAAGAGTCTGCTAGTTTTATTTTCTCTGTATTGATTGCAGTGCTGAATTTAGACTTGAAAAATGCCCTAAGCTATTTGAGATATGAAGCCCTTTATAAGTCCATATATTATATGACAGTGCTTAACATTTTTGGGGGGCTATAAGCTATAGTTTATGATACCTATAGGTATAATTGGATCTAATTGATAGATTGACCTAAATATACTGCACACAGTTAATCTGAGTTTTTTTTTTCATTTTATATTTTTTTCTCAAATTTATCTTTCAATATACTTACTCTGCTACAACACCTGCCCATTGCTTGGAGGCATAATCATGGATCTGGAGAATATGGTAACAAATTTTTTAAAATGCCATGACTATTTCAAAGAACAATTCAGACGTATTTCATAAATAGTCTTTCCTGTATATAATCACCATAAAACTCACAAACGTTTTAAATTTGAAGATATCCTCTCAATGAAAGAATAACGATGAGCAAATACAATTGAGACTAACCTATTCACTTTTTTTTCTCACCTGCCCAGAAGGCCCCCACAGTGTGATCTGGTTCCTGGCATTGTATTCATAAAGTTTTGACTCATTGTCATCAGTAGCCCAAAATTTAGCATCTGCTATCCAAGGTCCCAACAGGAAGCGCTCATTAGAACTCAGCAAATGATCAAGGTCAGCCAACAAGTTTGTAATATTCTGTCCAGCCTCTCTGCACACATTGACAAAAAAAGTTAAGCTACAGAATTCATTACAAAGTAATTAGAATAGTAAATACCTAAACCAGAATGATTTATTATAATATTTAATAGTAAATAAAATATTTAAAAAATTTGCCCTGCAATGATTCATTTTTTGTCACACCAGTTGTATTATTAGATAATCAATTTAAAAATTGGATAGGTCAGTAGGCTTATAATATCAATGACTGTCTATTCTAAAGGCTTTAATATGACTAAAAAGTTCAATTAAAAAACTGTTTCCTGTATTATGCACTTGCGTAAGTATTTGTTTTTTTTTTTTAAAAGATGTAACTATTTGTTTTAAATGAAACTATATAGAAAATAAATCAACAAGGTAACTTGTGTAAAGCAGCAGCAAACACATCAAATTCAGCAAACATCTAAAAATTATTTATCATTTGCTAAGATTTGTTTAGTTAACACCTGACCAAGAAGAAAGGAGAAGCTGTATGTGTTATCATCACGACTAGGATGAATTTATAAGCACCTTAAAATTAAAATATAAGAAGCATATAATTGTTTGAATAGATGTATAAACCTTACGTACTTCACAGTACTTATGTCCTTTTTATAAAAAGCAGCGACCATGGCAGAATAAAACTGCAGTGCTATAATCTGGAGTGAGTTACGTGTAATGTCTGTTATGTCATAGAGAAAGAGCTCACTGCCATTCAAGTCAAAAGAAGCATTAAGCATGTTGTTCCAGGCAGAAAATAGATCTTCAGGGTCATACCAAATCTGAAAAATAGTTTGCACAAAATGTGATGCTTATAACAAAACTAAAGTATGAATCTAGGGAAAATTGAAGTCTATATGCAAAAATATCAAAAATAGAGTCAAACATTCAATTTTTTTTTTTTAAGTAACAAATGTTACTAATAAAAGTAAATAATTATTTCTTGTAGCCTGAACTCAATGACAGCACAATGGGTGATGGCAGGAAGAATGGATATCACGAGATTCAAGTCTAAGAAAGTTTAGAACATTGTGTAAATAAATGTTAAATTAATAAAGATAAAAGCATTTCAGAGCATCAGAAACATATCCTCCATTCCAGTTACCATTATTTTCATCTTTATTTTGTCTTAAGATAGTTGACATTAATGTTTAGAATGCTTTGAAACAACGTGAGATGCTGCAACTGTAAATTTCTTCCATGTTATAAATGAACTAAATTAATATATTTTTCATTTGAAGTCAGACTTTCAAAAACAAATAACTTAGATGTGCAATTGTACACTGACACACTATTTATGATGTACAATATACTTAAGAATAATGCAAACTACATTTCATAACCCTTTACTTACATCACTCTTTATATTATAAGTGGGTGTTGGTCGGATAGTAATAAGCACATGATTGAAGTCTCGTGTGTTGGTGGAACGATTGTATACACCTTTCTAATAGTAAGAGAACACACAAAGATGGCTTTCAACATTCCATGAGATAAAAAACATCTTTTTGTCTGAAGCAATAGGTAGAAGGAAAGCATGAATTAACTATGCGAGATATATGTCATGAGTTTTGGAAATTTCCTTTCCAGAATGTCCCAGCATTCCCTTTGACCTTTCACTTCAAACGTGATAATGTGACTTACATCCTGGTCTTCATTAGTCAAAGATGGGCGTTTGGCAATGACGATAAAGTTGTGATCCCTATGATTATCACTTGCATTGTAAACACTTCTCTGTAAACATTTCAATAGTCATATTTCTCAGTTAATGATTTCACTTTTCAAACTTTTGTCACTTTTAATGAGACTTTCTCTTGCCAAGGAAACAATAATATAAACTTTCAATAGGGAATAGAACAAATTTGAAGGCTTAAGGTTCACCTGCTATTATCCCAGGTTGAATACAATTTTACATGTCAATGCTCTGCATTAAATGTTTTCCTTTATTACATAAATGATGTAATAAATTAAACGTTTATAACTATCATTAAATCAATATTTTAAAAATATTTAATAAAATAAATTCCTAGAATAATTAACATAATTGTTTTTTCTTAAAGTTTTAATTGCACTAACCATTAAGAGTTTCCAAGCTGTAATAGCTGATGGACTGTCTGCTCCGTAACGTTGTCTAGCATATGTCGAAATCCTAAAAAAAATATGTTCAAAAAGAAAGAATTTAAAGGAAAATAACTCTAACAGTCATGTGACCTAAAAATAGAATAGGTCATAAGACCAGTGACCTGTACTGCAACCGCAAGTTAGTCCAGCGGTACTTTGTGGTCCCAATTATATTATCTAGGCTAATAACTATAGCCTCTAGATGTATAAAACTACAGAGACAAACAATTAATAATTCTGAGAATTCAGTTGCAACATAAAAAAGGAGTTTATTTACAAAAGAAAAAGATCATGAAAAAATGTAAATGGCAATAAGGCTCACAAAAGAAAATGACATAATGAAACAAAGCAAAGTAGCAAGACAGTTTCCGGTCAATATAATGGAAGGACCACCATCACAGAGGCACAATAATGTCTTATGCCGAAAAACCAAAAAGATGGTTTACAATAATATCATACATGCATTAACAATGAAATGACGTCATTCATGAGACATTTTATGTCAAAAACCAAAGCGAGGGTTTACATTAGTTTACAATAATATCATACATGCATCAACAATGAAAGGACGTCATTCATGAGACACACTACTGTCTCGTATCTAAACAAAAGATGTCTTTAAAAAAAAAAAAGACATACAGAAGAGGATAAGAGACTAAGTAGACCTATACCATTTACATAAATCAACTAACAAATCGATAAAGTCTACTTAGCTCATTATCGAAATACTCTTCCCACAACAGTGGCACACTCCTCTTGAGTAACACAACAATAGTACAACACAAGTATTAGTCAAATATTATATAGATTTAGTTCAAGCTACACTGGTCAGTTGAAAGACTCAAGAGAGAGTGGCAATTGTAAACAGTTGACAAGGACTTAAATCAAGTAAAAAAGGGGGCTATCTCTAATAAAAAAAAATAAAGGTAGCCACCCTTATTGTCCCTCTTGTCACAGTCACATTAAAGAAACAAACAACAAACATAAACAGAAGTTTTATCTTTGTTATTTAAAAAATTAGAAAGTGTACTCAACCAATCATTGACATCCCGCGGCTGTGATCTCCAAGAGTTCTCCAACATAAATTCATACATGACCTCATTTTGATGAATGCCCTCAGGTGTAATGCCAATACCAACCATTGTAGAGTTGGCAAACTGACGACCAATAAATGGACCCTGTGAAATGTACCAAATTGTTTTTCAAAAATTGTTTAATAAATAGCTGACAACTAAGTTTAAGCAATATACATAATGACCTTTCTAAATGTATTTATTTGTAAAAAAAAACAAAAAAAAACAATTTTGTTCTGTTAAACTTCACTTTTAAAAAGAACTGAGATTTCTTAATCAGTACGTTCAATATAGTTTTAACCGTACTTATGATTTCAATATATTTCAAAATGGCGATGCACTGTGGCAACATGCAGTTTGTGCTTTCAAATTGAATTCTATTAAACTTTTCACATGTAAATTATGAGTCTGGTGTGAATGTACATTTTGTTTTTTTATAGTTATAATGTTTTGTTGGGTGTAATGCACAAATTGTAAGACAAATTTCCTTATGGACAATATAGATTATTATTATTATTTTTCTTATCTTCTGCATTTATTGCCCCTCTTCTTACTTTTTACTACACCACCTTTGACTGAAGTCTAATTGACTAAACTTTGGCAGAAACTTTGGCAAAAGTTGTTACTCCAGAATTGGCATCTTTCGTCACAGAAGAATCTGCCCAACTTAAGGAGAAGCAATCTACACTAGGGATTTATACTGGAAGTGCATCCATTGTCTTTCAAGTCATATGGAGCCATAACATATGTTAAAATATTTCTCTTTAAACAGTAGCAATCAAACAATTTTATTTTAGAGTAGTAGTTTTTTTTATCTACACAAAGCTGATCGTGAAATGATTACTCCTTGAACATTAACAAAATGTAACCAATACTTCTATAGATAGTTTTTCATCAATGACCTTGTTTATCTGTTCCACTGCACCATATAGCTCCATTGTTCCTCCAAAGTTGTGAAGCATGCACCAGATAAAGGGTTGTCCATAATAAGACTCTAGCCTCTGGTATATTGGGAGTGTATCTGAAGCTAAGTCTAGGATAATCATACGCCCCTAAGACAATGAATATATTTTTGCAGCAGCTATAGTAAAGCATCATTATGTAGAGTCAACAGTGATGGTTAAGTTTCAAATGACAAATATTATAAACATAAGTTCTTTAGACATTTAACAAATGAAACAATCATAAAGTATTTAAAAAAGTACAAAAACAGTTATTACTAACCTCTGGTATTTTATAACAATAATTGTTAATGAAAATTTGTTTTTAATAAAAATTTATATTTAACAATCCCTAAATACTTAATCTTCAGATTTACTAGGTGTATGTAACTTTTCTTAATAATAAATTTTAAAATATTAAAACCTGTGGTACTGAAGTCACTAAAGCTTTGACAATTTCAGGTTTCCAGTAGCCTTGATCTAAAAACAGCCAACCCTGCATCAACCTGTCAATATAATCATATTTAAATTTAATATCATCAACAAAATAGTATTGAACTTTTTCTAATGTATTGTGAATATTATCTTAAAATGAAACCATTAACACATATACAAACACAGAAAGGCCGAAATCAGATTAATTTCATTCCTAAAAATTTAGGTTTACATGGTTTGTAAGTCAACTTTATTCAAATGAATTGTTTGACCTGCCTAATGACCCAGAACCATTGTAGCAATAAGCCATTAGGACTTAATGGAAGTTTTCTTAATTATAAGCTTGCTAGCTTTTTAAATTTTTAAAATTTAACAAGTAAAATAAAAAATGTTTGTATAATATTCCTACTTCTGTTACTGCTATTGATGCTACCAGATCCTATGCACATCATCATCAAATAGACTGCCTTATTCAAATAAACAAGTGCTAGAATTTAAAAATAAAACAACTACCATACAGCCTGAGGGTCAGCAGCCACCATTCCATTGAACACAGTCTGACCAGCAGCTCGAATGTAAGAAGGGTCACTGAAATAAATGTAACTGGAAGTTTCAGCATGCAAGAAGCCTTTTTATATGTTTATAAAGCTATTTATTAAAACTAGGATTAGGTAAATGTACACTTTCTATTCAATAAAAATGTACTTGATGAGATTGTATAAACATTTATTTGCTGTTTAATCCTTTCAAAAGTATGACATGATTTTTTTTACTTAGAAATTTATTATGTTTTGAAAAAGTTTTAAAATTTTGTCAATATTTAAAAATCAAAGGAATTTTTTTGTGTGAATTGTTTATAGCTATAGATAAAATTAAAAAAAAAAATTCCTTTCCATCCTAAAAATGTTTGGTTTTTTTTTCAAAATTTTTAAACTATAAATAGTCTACTACTAGTAAGTTAGTTGTCCTAGTGCCAGTAAAAGTATATATAGTACCTCGAAGCTGGTTTCATCTCATTAAAAGTATCTGTGTTGTAGATGTGATCAGTTCCAAACTCATTAGTTTGCTTCAGGACAAGTGAAATGTAAGTAAGTTGTAAATTGAATGAACTTATCACTATGACGACTTAAAATATCTCCAAGCAATCTTTAATTTTTGTTATTCCTAATTACTGTAATACTTTTTTCTTTATGCACTTACCACCAAAATAAAAGGAAATAAAGCTAAAATTCTTTTCTATGTTTTTTTAAAACTTTGTTAAGTCTATTTCATTAAGGTTTGCAAAAATGCTGCAACATATTTTCGAAACTGGATATTTAAAAATGTGACCAAATTTAATAATAGGAAGTCATAAATTTGCACACAAATATAAAGTGTTAATTTAAGCAGACTGTCAAATTTAGAAAAACAAATCTTAAATTATCTTCAGAAAAGTCATAAATTTCATAACTTACTGCTTCAATGAAGGCTTGGCCTATTTTAAGAAACAGTGGATCTTGAAAATCTAGTAGATATAGCCTAAGTGGGCAATTAAAAGAATAAATTTTAAGCTAAAAGGCTACATAAAATTAAAAGATTCACCTTTAAAATATTTAAATGAAGGAAACATGAAAACAAAAATAGTATTTAGAACAAAAGTATTTTACCCAGAGTATGTATCATTGAAGCTATTCCAGTTACTGAGACGAGTGACTGTTGCATTTGGAAATACCCTAAAATATTGATAAGTAAAACAATGAAACAATTATAATTGGAAAGTTTCATTAAATGTGTTAAAATTAGGGAAAATGTAATGTCCACTTTTAAAATATTTTTGTTCTGAACTAGCTACCAAAAAAAAAATACTAAAGGAAATGAAAGCAAACCTTGTAATAGCTTTAGGAACATGTCCAGCAAATGCAGGAAGTACTGGAATCATGCCTAGAGATCGCATGCGAGCGAGGATCTTGTGTTGTAGGACCAGTTTGTTAGTAATCCACATTTGAGGCAGAGGCCCACCCCAACCTTGAATGTTGCCCATCCTTGACCTAGGTGTTATAAGATATGCTGTTATACTGGTATATATATTCCTAAAAGCCTAGACACACATACCTATCAAT